TGGTGCTTGCCTCAGGTGGTGCCACCACCTCATCAGCAGCCATGGGCGGAGGTGGGGGGGGAGCTAGGAGGAGAAACTGGAAGGGCAGGATCTGGGGCAGGAGCAGCCAGCAGTGGTCCATAGCAGCAGTATAAGCCACACACATGATCTGAGCCTGCTACAAGAGCTCCTATCAGGTGGTGCAGCATGGCTCCATGTCCAACTCCAAAGACCGCTGCAGGGCACACAGGGCAACAACGTGCTTCCACTTCAAGTCCTCTTGGGCTCATCTGCGCTGGCTCCCATGGGGTCAGGAGGCTGGCTTGGGAGTTGTAGCAGGCACCTCACTTGCAGCTGGTCCAGCTGTGAAGAACAAAGAGAAGGGCAGTCATACCAGGAGACAGGCTGCCTGAAGCCTCTCTTTCATATCTGAGCTGACACCACAGGGTCTCAGGTCAGACAAAGTTGATGTGCTTAGAGCATGGCCATTAGTGGCCTAGACAGTGGGCCCCTTCCTGCAGGGGCACTGATGTCACCAGCAGAGCCTCGCTACCCCCACATCCTGGGGACAAGCAGGCACGGGAAGGCTGGAGGCCTGCCAGCACAATGGGGTGGCTTGGCTTTCCTCTGTGCCACACAGACGTTGGGATTGGCAGTGGCGGAGTCCTGCTGGGAGAGGATTTGTACCCCTGCCTACTGGAGGAGGGGGGAGGGTGTTGGAAGGCTGGGTGTATAAGTGGCAGATGCTGCTTTCTGGGGAGGGTGCTACTGGGGTCCCCTCTACTTCCTCCCTCTCCCCCTCCTGTGCAGGCTCCCCTTGCAGGGGACGGGTGTCCTCCATCTCACCACACTGGCCCAGGAGTGGATGCTGCCCTGGGAATGTGGGCATGATCATGTGCCGTGTGCAGCACTGCTGTTTGTGCATCTGGGACACCATCCTCTCTACTGGTGGTGGCCGGGGAGGGGGAAGAGGAGAAGGAGGGGGGCGGAAGGTGTTCCACCACAGGTTTGGGAGTAAAACAGGTCTCAATGCAGCTGTATGCTCTGGACTGTCGCTCCATATGTAGCCAAATGCACAGGCTGCTGTGAGATCCCCAGGCTGAGAAATCTGAGCGAAGAGTGTGCAGCCCCTTGCCACCTGTTGTATAAAGCTCCCACCTGAGCTATTACTTGATTTACACATATATTTTTTCTGGAAATGCACTGTAAGTTCCTGCCAACACATGACTTAGAGAATGACAAAACCTGCTGCTGACTGCATTGTTGTGAACACTGTTTGATGGGCGGAGGGCAGTTGTCTCCTAAGTCACTTTATTACTGATGATTTGTAGGTGATTAAAATGGAAATTGTTTCCAGATAGATGCTGTGCTTTGGAAGGTATCTTTATAACCATCGAGCTTTTTCTTTTGGGTCTGCACATCCTAAACTCAAAACTCCAGTAATCTGAAGAAGTGGGCTATGCCCATCAAAGCATATGATACCATCTACATGTTTTGTTAGTCTATAAAGTGCTACCAGACCATTTGTTGTTTTTTTCTGTGAAGCTTTGTAATTGTTTCTTTGTAACTTTTAGCTGCTTTGCCTTTTACATTCTGCACCTTTTGGAAAGATAGTTGATATCTGCAACTTTGTAATTTTTGTAAATCTCAGCCACTTTCCCTGTAACTTGCTCTAAGTTGCCTTCTCTCCTGTGATAAGAGAGAAAGTGTGAATGGAGACTGGAGCTTGTTTGGGGTGAGGAAAACAGCAAGGCTAAAAAACATGGAGCCAGGAGCCAGGTGATGATTAATTAAACAAACACAGAGACACTGCTGCTCTAAGCAAATGAAGGACCCGGACTGAGGGAGGTCTGGCCATGCTCCTTGGTGACAAACATGGAGGAAGGACCCCGTGTATGTGACAGGAGCTGTCCAGTTACAATTAATAGGAAAGAGCACAGAAACCCTCTTTCTGGAATCAGTATGTCTTGGCTTGCTCTGCAACCTTTTGCCTGTATAAATGTGTGAGTGCCTGAGGGCATGAATGAATGAGTGCGAGTGTGTGTGTGTGTGTGTGTGTGTGTGTGTGTGTGTGTGTGTGAATGGATGAATAAATGAATGAATGAAAGTGTGTGCGTGATATCTCATTCCCCTTGAGTTTATCCCTATAGTGGCATTCAATGACAGCTCAATTCCTTTTAGTTTAACCCTATAATGGACTGCTAATTCCTCATTTAATAAATCCATATGATTGTAACCCTGGAGCAATTTCTACTGAAATTTGGAATAACACCACCCACCAACCTCCCCCATGTGTGTCCAGGGTAAGAGAACTCACCTGACAGTCCTTACCTGGTCTTGTCCAAGCCCTGGGTGACATCCTGGGAGGGGGGTACCAGCTCCAGGGACAGGGTGATGTTCTGGCTAGTGGGCATGCTATGTGTGGTGGCCACCTACTCCTTGTCATCATCCTCGTTATCCTCCTCCACTGCCATGCCCTCTGGGAGGCTGACAACAGGTGTCTCCAGGTTGGATTCAATGATGAGAGGAAGGGAGGTGAGCTGCCCCCCTCCCAGGATGCCATTGAGCTGGAGGTAGATGCAACCAGTCTGGGGTGCCTCTCCCAACTTGGAACTCCTTTCCCTAGCCTTGGAATAGGCCTACTGGAGTTCCTTACACTTCATTTGCACCTGGTCCAGAGTGCGGCTGTGTCTTCAGCATTTCGTTGTCTGATGTGGATATTTTGGCTGTAGGACTACTCCTCTCCAGATTTCAGTGAGATCCAGGTTCAGCATGTCAGTCCAGGATGGTACCCTCCTCTTTCAGCACCAGACAGGGGCTTGGGAGCTGGGTGCAGATGGGCTGGCAGCCATGGAGGCCTCAGATAGTGTGGTAGATTGGGCAGAGCAGAGCACTGCTGTGTCACACAAAGCCCTTTCCCCTGTGGCTGCAGCTTTAAGGGCTGCAGGGGAAGAGGAACTATAGACTTCTAATGAGTGTAGATAGAGTGGCCAGCAGGGCACCTGTGGGAAGCCCTGGAGGCCTCTTATTTTGAAATAACCACAACTGTGCTGTCTACACACACCCTATTTCAAAATAACTATATGGGAATAGACATTATTCCTTGTAAAATGAGGGTTATGGATTTCAGAATGAGGTGCCTGTTATTTTGAAATTATTTCAAAATAGTGGACTTGCTGTGTAGACGCTCACTTTGTTATTTTGAAATAACGCTGCTGTGTAGACATGCACTGGGTGTCTAGGCAAGGACTACATGCCTTTCTGTAGGTGGCCAGGATTGAAAATTCTGGCCTCTGTTTTTCATAAACATCTCAAGTGGAGATGAGATGATTAATGTCTAGTGGATCTTTTTGGACAGTGTCAAAAATTAGGAACACCCACCACCTCTGGTGTTCTTTGAATGGATAGATGCCTTATTTATGCTTCCTCCCATGCTGATAGCTCTATTTCAACTAATACTGCTTTAAGCTGACTTTCGTCAGATTCTAAGCCTAAAAATCTCTCAAAAAGGAAGTTAAACAGAATGGGATGTATAGCCAATAGCAGTATATCTCTTTTAAAATCATCTTTTTCTTGGCGGGGTGGGGGAGAAGAGTGCATGACAGGGACAGCCTTCCACAGGAGTTGAGAGAGGTTACCTTCTCCACAAATCCTAGGCTGCATCTATACTGGCATGATTTTGCACAAATACTTTTAACGGAAGAGTTTTGAGTGGCTCGGTTACTGCCCCTTCTGCCTCCTTTTATGTATCCTTGAAAACCCTCATCCCTGAAGGAACAATGTACAGGGAACTTTGCAATGTGAATCTTGTGGAATTTTCTGTGTCCTCTCTGTGGATATTTCTGAGGGATGGGTACAAACTGGTATGAATTTCAATGTCAATAAAACATAATATCTTATTATTGAAAAAAATTCTCTTATTTTCCCCTGAAGCGGAGCAAGTGCATCTAAAGGGGAAGGGGATAAATTTGACTCTTAATAACATACAAAATGTTCTTTTTGTTTTTTAAAGAGCTGTAAAGATAAATACTCTTAGGATGTTCTTGCCTGCTGTCCCTATATAATGTCTATGTTCACTGTAGCTTTGAGTACAATTTATTTTTAATAGATATTGTCATCACATGAGTTTTCTCACATTAGCGTACTCCATCTTCAATTAAAGAATCTTCTGCTAAGAACATTGTCCACTTTTCCACTGCAGTTTTAGTTTATCCATGAGATCACAAGAAAAACTCATTTCAGAGGTATTAAAAGTACACAGTTAGAAAGAACTAGGACTGAGTAAATGGTTTGGAAAAAATCCAAATAGCATCACGCATGAAAAGCACAGAACACAGAAATAATGCAAGAAAATCATTTCTCATGCTATTTTAGCCGTACTGTGTGTCCAGATTTATCTGAATGCCAAACCCAAACATCTTGGGTGATTGAGCATTGCTTCATGAAGCCTCTAGATTTGGATTTGGCCTGCCTTTATGTCAGTATGCAATGACACAAAATGTCATATGTGATGGATATGGCTTTGTGAAAAACATAGAAACAGCATTATAAGATTTTTTTTCTCCTTCTGTGTATGATTTTGATTCATTTGACATCAAATCTGAGTCTTGTAACATGTAACAGAAAATCCATGAAGGTCTCTGATTTCTTAAAGGAGATTTGGTGAAAAAAGAAACTTTATATAAAGACTTCTTCCTTTGGCTTCCCTTCTCTAGTTTTTATGCATATGTGCCTGTTACAAGTCAATTTCAGAACTGATGGCTTCCTTTAATGAGGTATGGTGAGAAGTAATATGTAGTGCTCTTGGGACCAAAAGCCTTGTGAACTGCTCAAAGCCCAAGTACAGAGGCTTTGCATGAGAATATGTAAAAGGGGTGTGAGGGAAAGAATTTGCCATTCAGCTCAGATTACCAGCATGGAATAGTCAGTCCAGAGTTGTTACTCAGATGCTAGGAAGCCAGGACAGATGGCATCCATCAGTAGACAAACATAAGGGAACAGAGGTTTTGTACGTAGAGAAAGCAGGGGCCATCAACTAGAGGTAATAGGAATTGACACCTCTGATTACAGGTAAGAAACTATATTGAACAAGCCTGTACCTTGCTAGATTAACATTTAATTTTTACATTAGTATTTTCACTTTTCTTTGCTTGTAACCCTTTGTAATGTTATCTCTCATACTTGAACTCAGTTACAATCCTGTCTTCTTTTGTTACTGAATTTGCATTACTATTAATCTAAACCACCACTGATGCATTTAAACTAAAATTAATGTTAACTCCAGTGAATGTGGCAAGTTGGTGGGCTTTGTGTCATTATTATTTCTCTGAACAGCTCAGGAAAAGGCTGGAGATTACAAAGCACTCCGTTTCGGAGAAATTGGGGGGTGGGAGTGTGGTAGTGAAGGTAGTAATGGATGGAAACCAGAACGGGGTTGCAGGGCTGTAGTGAAGTTGTTAAGCCTCTCCATCTAGCACACAGACATTTCAGGATGTGACCTGCATGCCTGTAAACTAGATATGTGTGTCCCAGGCTGGTAGTATCATTGTAAGATGCTCAATGTTTCAGGAAAGTAGACATGAGTCCCCTCACTGGTCTGGATTGTTACCCAAACACTGTAGCAATCCCTTCCCCCTCACACATACAAAACAGTATTCTGAAAAAACTCCTAAGTGGGTTCACACACTTCGGCTACGTCTAGACTGGCATGATTTTCTGGAAATGCTTTTAATGGAAAAGTTTTCCATTAAAAGCATTTTTGGAAAAGCGCGTCTAGATTGGCAGGATGCTTTTCTGCAAAAGCACTTTTTGCAGAAAAGCATCCATGGCCAATCTAGACGCGCTTTTCCACAAAAAAGCCCCGATCTCCATTTTTGCGATCGGGGCTTTTTTGCGGAAAACAAATCTCTGCTGTCTACACTGGCCCTTTTGCGCAAAAGTTTTTCGGAAAAACACTGACAATCTTACATGAGATCGTCAGTGCTTTTGCGGAAATTCAAGCAGCCAGTGTAGACAGCTGGCAAGTTTTTCTAGAAAAGCGGCTGCTTTTCGGGAAAAAGTGGCCAGTCTAGACACAGCCTTCTTGTTTTTGTTAGGTGAGGTTTGTGCTTACAGGCATGTTAACTGAAGGGTCAATTCACATCTACAAATCTCAATCCATAACAGATTTTACCAATCTCGTAGTATTATAGAAAATGGAAAGGTAAATAGATATTTACATATTAGGAGACATGGACAGAAAACAGACTTTCTGTCCCTCATTTCAAAACTTGTTTTAGTCCCAAATTGGGATAAAATGTACAAATCTCAAAATATTTTGTGAAATGAAAATTTTGAAATATTTTTATTTGGAAATATTTTGCTTCATAATGTTAAGAATTACAATATTAAATATTAAATATAACATATGGAAATTAAACATAATATATAACATAATAATTAAAAGTCAAAACAAAGAAGTTGACATGAAACAAGAAAGATTAAACAAAATAAGCCATTTTTTAATTTTGAATCTTCTCAAAAAATTTCTTTGAACATTTTGAACATTGACAAGTTCCTGCAGTTATATTGTAGATTAAAGTGTTTTCTGTTGAAAATGTTCCACTGAAAAATTTACTGGCAGTAACAGTTATCAATTATCTTGATCTATTTCTAGCTCATTGTTAAAGATAACCAGAAATGCATTCCACAATGACAAACTAGTAGGAAAGTCAAATTCTTTATATGCACATAAGTTACAGAGAGACCACTGGGGCAAGTGGAATATTAAAATAGAAATAAATAATATTAAGAACTGTTCCTTTATTTCATTTGTTCGCCCTTTTTATCTTCCATTAAAATTGATTAAATTTTGACCACGAGAGGTGAGAACTATTTTAAATGAGTTCCTTAAATAACAATTGGATGAACTGAGCAAAAATCTGCTTTACTAATATAAAAAGTCAGATTATATTTGTAATTGTTACTATAATGGGCTCTTCATACTTAACATATCTGCTTGTAGTGTTCCTTGAAATCGTGTCTGCTACATTAATTTACTTTACCATAACAAGTTTTTATTTCTTTGGTTAGCCCTTCAGAATCAATGCAGCTCTGGAAAGGTTATCTGAAGTCTCTCCTGTCTGAGACAAATTTATTAGCTATTTTCTGATGACTGAATTTGTATTGGACAGCAAGAAAGAACATATCTTGCTTTCCAGATGCAAGATAAGGTTTGTACACCTCAAAATGGAGAAAGTTTGAGAGAACGTTGATTGAGAGAGACTATTGAACCCCACAAATTTTTTTCCAATAGCCTCTTTTCAAAATATAACCACATGTGTAAAGTAGGTACATGGTATTGTCAGGGTAGCCAACAGCTTTCACTGGTCCCTGGGCAAGGTGTGGAGGGCCCTAGCTCCATGCTTCTGGAAGGGGTGAGACCTCAGGCAGAAGGGGCTATGCCGGCAACTCCCCTACTTCCAGCCCTCAGAGACACAGGGAGCATGTGGCATAGCACTTCAGCAATGATTTAAAGGGCTTGAGGCTCCACTTCCACTGCGGTAGGCAGGAACCCTGCCCCCTTTGAATCACCAGGCCCCAGGACAACTGTCCCTTTTACCCCCCTTTCAGCCGGACTAGGTATTGGAAAGGTATAAACAGTAATAGGGGAGTATCAAGAGTGGATATCTTTCTAAAATACATATTATAGCCCAAACAGATTTTATGGGCTGGATACAAGAGTCACAGGTAGACGTGTGGCCCTCGAGACTCAAGGTTCCCACACTAACGCTCTAGCTCCCCTCCAGATTGGTGATAGAAATGTAGCCGTGTTAGCCTGGGGTAGTTGAAGCAAAATGCAGGACAATGTAGCACTTTAAAGACTAACAAGATGGTTTATTAGATGATGAGCTTTCGTGGGCCAGACCCACTTCCTCAGATCAAATAGTGGAAGAAAGTAGTCACAACCATATATACCAAAGGATACAATTTAAAAAAATGAACAAATATGAAAAGGACAAATCACATTGCAGAACAGAAGGGGGATGCGGGGGGGTGGGAAGGGGGAGGAAGGAAGGTAAGTGTCTGTGAATTGCTGATATTAAAGGTAGGGAGAGTGGGATGTTTGTGAGTTAATGGTATTACAGGTGATAATTGGGGAAACTGTCTTGATAATGGGTGAGAAAGTTCAAAGACTTGTTAAGTCCCTGGTGGTAAGTGTCGAATTTTAACATGAATGACAGTTCAGAGGATTCCCTTTCAAGTGCAGATGTAAAAGGTCTTTGTAGCAGAATGCAGGTGGCTAAGTCATTTAGAGAGTGTCCTTTCTGGTTAAAGTGGCAAGAAACTGTTTTCTCTTTGTGATCTTGTCTGATATCTGTTTTGTGGGCATTAATCCTTTGGCGAAGTGTCTGAGACGTTTGTCCAATGTACATAGCAGACGGACACTTTCGGCACATGATAGCGTAGATTATATTTCTGGATGCGCAGGAATATGTGTTCTTGATCTTATAACTCACTTGGTTAGGTCCAATAATGGTATCAGCAGAATGAATATGTGGACAAAGCTGGCAACGGGGTTTGTTGCAAGGGAAGGTACCAGGGTTGGTATTAGTGTGGTATGTCCTGTGGTTGTTGGTAAGAATCATCTTGAGGTTAGGTGGTTGTCTATAGGAGACTATGGGTATAGTTGCCTGTGCCATGCTGCCGTCAAAACAGATGGTCGTATTGTTTCTTTTTGGCCTTAATATCTATAAATTCTTGAACTGGGAAGTACTAGAAGAGCAAAGCAAAGCAAATAATAATAAAATGCCACCTGATTTCCATTTCTCAGCTTAACTTTTATCTCACTCTAGTAAAACAATTAAATAGATGCTAAAATAAAATAAGTAAAGATCTATGCTTTTGTAAGGCAGCTGCATACTTCCTGTTTCCCTGCTCTTTGGTGTGACAGCTGCTGTGTTGATTAACACAAACGTGAGTGTACTGGCATCTCCAGAGGTAAAAGCAGGAGCTGCTACAGCTTGTATGAAATAGACAGTGTACTTTAGCTGGGGCTATAGCAACTTAGATACTATGCAGATTGGCACAAATGGAGAAAACTCCTAATGAACTCACTGGTGGATTGCTACGGCATTTGTGTAGATTTCTTCAACTGTCTCTTCGAATTCCAAAACTCTGTTTTCAGACTTCTGTCATACCAGCCGGGCCATTGTATCTTGGCTGCTTACTCTTCATTGATCTGAGCATTTAAGATAATTATTTTGTATCAAGCAAACCATTACTTGTTTCACAGCTCTGTCACTTACATTATTCACGTGTAATTGCTTTCTTTATTTGAAGTTATCTTTTCAGAATAATTGTGTATCCTGTCAAATCTACCTAGCCAGTTCACAAACTGAGATTAGTTAATGTTTCCAGCGGTATCCTTGGAAATTCAGACCCTTATCATATGTTAAGTTATAATTAACATAAACAGAAGACAAGATCTATACAAGCTGTAAGGCTTATGTGCAGCCAAGCTACTTGTTTGTCTAGAAAGTTCTACCTGAAGATGGGAATGGCCATTGCATACTGACCCATGGATTTGTGTCACAGCTCTTGTGGGAAGTTCCTGCAGGATCACTCACTAGGGGTATGTCTACACTACCCCACTAGTTCAAACTAGGGGGGTAATGTAGTCATACGGAGTTGCAAATGAAGGCCGGGATTTGAATTTCCCAGGCTTCATTTGCATAAAGCCGTGTGTAGCCGCGCGGCACGGGGTCCGAACTAGCCGGCATTTAAAAATGGCGCCGTCCGGCTTCATGCAAATGAAGCCCGGGAAATTCAAATCCCAGGCTTCATTTGCAACTCCGTATGACTACATTACCCCCCCTAGTTCGAACTAGGGGGGTAGTGTAGACATACCCTAGACTACTCAGCCTCCAGATCCCTAGGTGTTTTAAGTTTTCCTGGACATCCCTTTGCCTCTCTGGAACGTTTCCTAGACCTTAACTATCAGGTGATTACTCTCATGGAAATATAGCCCGTGAGCATGCCTGGGGTCCCGAGGACAGCACTAAGACCCAAGATTAACACATGCTCGTGCA